GAAATGTAGACACATTAACCATTAGATAAGAAACAACTACAAGTAAAACTTATCAAACAAATCAATCCATGTCTTGCATAAATTATCATACATAATTCTATTAAGTTTGTATCAGCTTCTTTAAGAGATTGTGTATTTTGGAGGACCTTTGTGATGGACTGATGAATCTCTTTTCTTCTCTTCTTCAACTTCTTTGCGATTCTGGTTTACCACTGCATCATCTGGATTATCTGACGGATTCACGCATACTTTCAATTTCGATTCCATGCTGAGATAATTGTTTAAGACTCTTCTTACTCCGAATCCTCGAGAAGGAAGACCTTTCTCATTGACTTTGTTAGTGTTCTTGCTTGAATAAGAAGGTGTCCTCGCTCCTTTTCTGGGGCTAATCATTGGACCGGACAAAGGAGAGAAACCCGGTGTTGTTGAGAAGCTTGTTCTGTATGGAGTTCCTGAAGCAGATATTAGATAAGGGATTGGTACTAGTTTCTTGTGAGCTTTGATGGTCACAGCTGGATTTAGGTTGTTATCATCTGATTGTTTTGTTAAGTCGTCCACGTAGAGTAAATCATCGATTCGTGCCACAATGTTTGATGCTAAGCTCTCTAGTGCTCTCGAGTAGCTTTCGAGGATTGATTTCCCAATATCCTGCAAAATTTTCGAAAGACAAATATAAGTAAAGAACAAGCAAAGCAATCTTGTAAATTGTAATGTAATGTATTTAGAGAAAATGGGTTTTTTTGGACCTTGTTCCATTGAATCTTGCTAATGTCTAGAGAAGTTTGTGTTAGAGATGGAAACCGCTGCTTCAAGCAACGTAAGAGAGTGTCGGATCTCTCCACAAGTAATCCTCTTTTGTCACCAGCAGCCATTAGATCTTTGACCATTTCCCATGATGATTTTGGTGTAGAGCTTGAAGTATTATTGTTGTTGACCACAAGTTTTGTGTGTACTCTTCTACGCCAAACATATATCGAAGCTTCCACGCGATTTGCGATATCAAGAGCATTATGCTCAGAGGACAGATCAATGCAATCAAGAAGACAATCCGCAGAAAATTTCTCAGATGTTATGTACTTGTAGATAACATCCCCAAGGCAGGATCTACCGTTCTGCGCCAAGAGTTATAATGTCAGAGCAGAACTATTTTATAGGATGTTTTGAGTTAAAGATATAAACCGACCTTTGGAAGGGTTTCAAGGTATGATTCAGGAACATCCATTTCGGTTAAAGCAATGCTGTTAATTGCCATTACTGCTTTAAGTATCTGAGTCGCACATTCCCTCTTGTGATTCAATTCTGTTCTTGCTTCTTCGGTAAGACCATTAGGTGCTAAACGAGGAACAGGCAACCACCATTTCTCCTCTTGGCGTTGAATTTTTCTGCGGAAAGAAGCTGAGCCATCGTTCTCTGAAGCTACAATCCCTTGATCAACATACCAGAACTCAGTTCTCTTGAAACTCGCCAATATATCCTATTGCAAAAGAAAGAAAACAGATATTAGATCAACAACTTTCACATGAGAGTATCATTGTAAAGAAAGTTGAGTGAGACTCACAAGAAGCATATTGTCTAGTTTACGAAGAGCTGGAAGATTGATGAATAAATCAAATCTTGGTCGGCAAGTCATGACCTGATTCAGTTTTGAACATTAAACTCCAGTAATTGCAGCTACATCAATCCAAAGAACAGTCATAAAGAACATACCTCAAACTTTTTCCCATCTGGGTAAGTTTGTGTTGAAGGTGTTAACTCAACGATGTGATCACTAACACTAAGAATCCACTCCATTTCCCTTCTCCACATATCCTTCTTCTCACTCGAAAGCGGCTCTAATCTCCATAGTTGCCCAAAAATCGTAGCTAAAAGAAGAAAAGAAACATTTTTCAAAACACTTTTTGGTTCAAGCATTTTAACGAACACAAGATGATCTTTTAATTTACCACAGAGATTAGTGATTGCGTTGGAGATAGCTAAAGCCGTGCACACTCCTTTACCAGAACCTGACATATCTTCACCAAGCAACAACTTTGCAAATCTCTCCTTCATCATCTCCACATCTATTTAGAATAAAAGTTCCGACTTTGAAATTTGAAATTCTGACCCAAAAAAGTCAAAAAAGCTTTGATTTTTTTTTCTCGGAAAACGAAAACAGATGACTAACCTGCAATGTTCAACGCTTTCTCTTTAGACCCAGAATCACCGTCAAGGGAAGATTTGACATTTTCGTTCGAATTCTTCCGAAACGAAGCTTTTCTGATCGGCCAACCCAGAATCGACGAC